GTTGTTTTACTGTGACAATTTCACTGGACAGAAGCAGTATAGTCAGTTATATTGCTTTCTATTTGAACCCATTACTTTATAATGAGAAATAAGCATTCTAAGAGAAATATTATAAGAGCAAATGACTAAGCTGAGAGATCGTCACATCTTGCAACAGTTTTCCTTAGTTAGGTTAACTACATTTGGGCAGATAGCTAAGATTTAAGGATTTGAAAATTATAATAGTTCATAATATTAATAAACTCATTATAATATAAATGTAGTTTATATTAAAATAGTGAATAATAATGTTCAACATTTGACAAATACTTATTAAGTGAAAAGCTGTGTTCCAAAAGTATAAATTCATTCAATCCTCACAATAATCCCATTAGTAGGTAATACTATTATTGCCATTTTACATATGACAAAAGCTCTGGCACTGAGAGAAAATACATGTTCAGTCAATTTCTACATGGATATTAAGTGACAGGGCAGAAATTCCAACAATATAAAATGTTCCTCAAAGAATGCATACTATTGCATAATAGGCCCTAAAATTCATGCTGATTAATATGAAATATAAATTATGCCATGGTACCTTTGATTTTTATCATATTTAATTACAGTAAAATAATTAATGTATATATGATTTTACCTGAACCTCTAAGTATCCTTTGGTAAGTCTAATCTCATTAATTTTTCAGAATTTCCTAAAATATAATTACCACATGAGATGACATTTACATTTATAATATTGGAGTTAAAACAGGTGAGGAAAACTGACTTCAGATATTTAGAGATAAATTATATTTAAAGCTTCAGCCAGGCCATGATGACTAAATATTAACTTATGATTAATTTGATATTGTGCCCAATTATATCAATTTGTTCACTAAAAACCTGTAGTTGTTACTTTGTAGCATAATCCTACAGAAATCATTACCACTCATTTTGTAGTTCATTCAAGTGAGGCTAAGAGGTTAAATATTGTGATTTTTTTGTGTGTGTGTGTGTGACAATGAACCAAAGGCAACTTTGGAGTTCAGATCCAAAATCTGGACATGATTTTACCATTCTGTTATATTTATTTGAACAATAGATTCTAATGTGACAGTTGACAAGGTTGTTTGTATCCTCTCTTATCAGGGTAGTACAGTAAGTTTACTGATGAGTTTTGCATATATTCATATACCGTGTGTCCTTTGCTTGAAGATTATCTCTTTAAAGATATACCTCATGTTTTCACTTGTTTCTCCAATTTATATATATATATAAAGTTTTAAAAGACAAAAATAAGTTTAAATATAATATTAAAATATATTTATAAGTTACTTTGTAATTGTTTCATGTTTCATCTAGATTATAACATCGTTTTGAAAGGTACTGATTTGTTTGAAGGGCCTCAACTATCTTTTACACATATTAAGAAAGAGTAAGTAAAAGGACTTTTTTAAATGGAGATTTATTTTTGGTTTATTTATACAGTCTGAATTGATTTTGCTGGTTACAACTAAAGTCAGAGATTATAGTCTGAGCAGTTTCACCTATTAAAGATGCGAGACAAGTCAAAGCACTTAAGCTTGGGATTCCTCTGGAAGAAATCCTGGACCAAGTAAAAAACATTTTATGAGCTAAATCAGAGGCTTTTCCAGTCAGTCTTGAAGCCAACCAGCTGGCTTCCCATCTGTTTTCTCACCTAAGTTCCAGGAGCAATTTGGATAGAGGCTAAGACACTGTTGACATGCATTAGGAGAATGAAAGTATTCTTATTTTCATTTCTAATACATTCCATTCTGTGTGTCTTTGAATAAGTATTTTTTTTTGCATAATTTAATGCCTTCGTAAAACAAAATATTTGCAACATAGAGCCTGATGGAGGTGAAGTCACAAGGGAGGCGTTGCAAACAGGAATGAGAACATGGCAACCTTAGGATTAGATTCATGGCTCTGAGTATGGATGGCAGACAGATCGGTGGCCGCAGTGAATCAGAAAGAAGGCAGGAGGAGTCAGAAACACGAGCAGTGTCAGAAGCAAGAAGTCCAGGGTGCCTAGGTAGATCATTCGGTTAAGTGTCTGCCTTCCGCTTGGGTCATGATCCCAAGGTCCTGGGATCGAGCCCCAGGTGAGGCTCCCTGCTCAGTGGGGAGTCTGCTTCTCCATCTCCCCTGCTTGTCCCCTCTCTAATAATAAGCAAAATCTTTTTTTTGAAAAAAGCAAGGAGTCCAATTTTTTTCAATCTTCGGCCAATCCTCTCAAAGTTTTTAACCTCTACAAAACAATAACCTTAATAAATATTTGTTGGAAAGCCTCCATAGCAAATAAAACTGATGCCATAATGATGATAATAAGAGCAGACATTTCTTCAGGGCTAACTCTGTGAGGGGCACCTGACAAGTGCTGTCTTATTTTGTAAGTAGTATTATCATGCTTATTTTTCAGATGGGGAAATTAAAGTTTAGAAAAGATAAGAAACTTGTCCAACGTCTTCCGGGGGGTGGGCCTCAAAGCCAGGTGTACTGACTCCAGAACTCATGTTCTTCATCTTTGTGGGGTGCTTTAAAATCGGTTAACTGGTCCTTATAACTTACTGCCTAAGGGGATAAGGGCACAAATCAAGTCTGACTCAACCTAAAATTTCTGGTAGAAGGCCAAACAATTAATGCTATCATTTGAATGATGTATATATGACCAGAAAGTCCTCATTGTTTTAGATTCTGAACAGTATAAATCCTTGTAAAAATATATTTTTGTAGTGCAAAATAGAAAATGCAAGTAGAATAAAATTTTGAGGAAAATGATCCCCAAATAAGAGTATCTAGGAATCATGTTTCTGTTTTCTAATTTAGCAGTTATGCAAGTACCTTTTCTCACACTAATATCTTTGATATAAAGAGGATCATGAACATACGGAAAGGAGGTATAATACTGTTATCGCATATATTTTTCTAATGTAGTTGGATGCTTCCAATTATTTATAGTCTTTTAGGAAATTTAATCACCACCACATTGCATTAAGATGCCACTTTATATTTTCTAAACTGAAGAAGTACTTTCTTTGACTTCTCAGTTGTATTTTGGAATGTTTGTGCCTAGGATCCTTTTAAAAAAAATTCGCAGTGCCACTTTTAGGTTTTGGTTCTATAAAGATACTAGGGTGTAAATGTACAAAGATACATTTTAAGGATGTCTCTTACAACTTTAGATGCTTTAGAAACATATTTAAACAAATTAAATATCTTTCAATAGGAGGATTGATATTATGTACAACATAACATCAAAAGTAGTGCGATAAATATAGGTAAAATGTTTATAGCAGTGCTATTAAAATATCGTTATGTAAAAAGTTGAGAAGCAGAGAATGATATGTGAAATTTGAGCCATATATGGTTAAAAATCCCATCGTGTGTGTATGTATGTGAAGGTGTGTAATGTGGTGTCATGTGGTGAAGTGTGTAGGCATAGAACAAAATTCTAGAATTATTCATATCAAAGTATTCAAAAGTGAGTAGGGGTTGCAAGTTGTGGGGAAACTTTTACTTCTTACTTTCTACACTTCTGATTTACTTTGTTTCATTTTTACAAAAAAATGCATTGGTTTCGTTAGCAGCAAAAAGTAATTTTTATAATTTGCTTGGCATTCAGTGCTTATGACTAAAAGATATAATTTACCTTTCCAGTCTAATGTGTCCTAATTTCAGGCTTGCTACCTTAATTACAAATTTTCCAACTGTGTCTTTGCTTCCTTTGCCATTCTGCCTTTCTTTATCTGGTCCTCTCTGTGGGGAAGGCCCTTCCCTTCACTCCTTTTTTTGTTTGTTTATTTAAGATTTATTTATTTGAGAGAGAGAGAGCCTGCAGGCATGCAGGCACGTGGGGGGAGGGACAGAGGAAGAGAATCTTCAAGCAGATTCCCTGCTGAGCTCAGAGCCTGAGGAGGGGTTCTATCTCACAACCCAGAGATCAGGACCTGAGCTGAAACCAAGAGGCCGAGGCTTAACCGACTGAGCCACCCAGAATACCCTTCCCTTCACTTCTTGTGTCCAGGTTCCACTGTGCTTCTATAGCACATTTTTGTATGTGTATTTCTCAATCAGTTCCTCTCCTCCAATGTCATTTCAGATATTGTGTTCTTCTGTTACATCATCTATCATAGTCTGCCTTGTTATAAACTTACTAATATATTCATAGGAGCCACCCATAAAACTGAACCATCTTAATGCTTATTTATTTCCTTATAATTAGATTACCTTAGAAGGTGTCTCATAACATTTGAAACATTAGTAGTTTTTATTTTGTGAAAATTTTTAACAATCCCAGCTTTTCTTTATGTCCTAATTTACTATTGAAGAGTCACCTCTACTTTATGACAGATTGCCAACCTTGTGACTTATAATCCACTCCTCAATTCTCTGTTGTAATTTCTATGTAATAACTGTATTTGCTTCCTCTATTTTCTTATATAAACACATTTCAAGAGGCTTAAATGGGAAATGACAGTCCAAATAAAATATCTTCGGCATTTGCAATTATTTCATAGAATGATGCCAAAATATTGTCACATACAGTATCTCACATGACAAATCTAATCAAGTATCAGAGAAACAGAAATGTTTATAATAGGTTCCTGTATAAGTCAGTCCAGGTGGTTTCCTTTTACAAGGACAGGCAGAATTATTTTCAGGATGACAGAACCAGGGGGAAAGAGTGAAAACCCAAGTGATTTGCAAACAGGAGTTTCCTCAGTAGTCATCCGGGAAGGGAGTTGTGCTGTGTCACAAGTGACAAGTCCCTGGTTTTGAAAGAGTGTGAATCATCCTCCTTGAAACAGGAGGTAAGTGGGAGAGAGAGCCGTATAAAATTATTTTACAACTATTTCCTTTTGAGCTATGACTTCTTAAACTGGACTGGAATGTGATCCAGAATAGCTTCCCTTTGAATCCAACATTTGTCTTAAGCATTTTTATTGTCTCTATTTTCTCTCACACCATCGTACTTCTTCTCTCCCTCTGTTCAACAGATTTATACTGACTGGGCCAACCACTACCTAGCAAAATCGGGCCACAAGCGGCTGATCAAGGATTTGCAGCAAGACATTGCAGATGGAGTCCTGCTAGCCGAAATCATCCAGATCATTGGTAAGACCTGCCCTCTGGGAAAAATCATGGAAGTTTCTGCCCCCACGCACCTTGGTCAAACACAATTTCAGTTGAATGCATAGGAACTCAGTCCATGAGTCTCTGAGATTCATGTAGCTCTCCCATGTTTTAATTAAAAATGTTTATGTGAGAATGTTTGAAAAAAGCAGTTTGGCTATACTTTTAAATGGCTAGAACTGGATCTTTACATACACTGAATTGTCAGAAATGAACGCTTCATTAAACCATATGTCTCCCATGTGTGCATTTCATTAGCTAGAGCAACTCATACACTCTGAGATTCCTTGAAACTGTATCCTGATCCAGCAGGGACAATTGTGAAAGGTTTCATGTCAGCAGTCATTTGGCACAGGCTAAAGAATTAGCAGCAACTTCCTTCTCACTCACTTTTTTTTTTTTTTTTTTTGGCCTGATCTGTGCATACGGACTTGGCGGCTAACAAGTGTGTCCCCTCGTACACAGCTTGGGAGACAAGAGTGAATGTAGCAGCAGCATTGTGCTTGTTTTTTGTTTTTTGTTTTTTTGTTTTCTTAGTCTCCTTCTTTTGTGTTTCACGTCATTGCTTAAGCATGTCATTCTTTTTTTCTCTCTTTTATTTTATTTCTTGGCTTTAGCAAATGAAAAAGTTGAAGATATCAATGGATGTCCTAGGAGTCAATCTCAGATGGTAAGAATCATGTTTATTCTAAAATATAATGCTTATCTTCACTTTTGATTAAACTACATTTGGAAATGGACTAGAAATTTCTTTTGCCTGCCTTCCTGCTTAAGAAACCATTTGGTCACATTCTCATATGTATTTCTTTGGGTGCAATTTATGAACAAGGGAGAGTATCAGCACAGTGGAATATGTGTAACTCCTGAATAACACATCTCCAGGTGTTTTCTCAGATCCTGACTTTCTGCTGTTGTTTTGATGTCTGAATAATTTAACACTGATTGTGCTGGCAGTAAATCCCATTTCCAATTTTAAGTGGAGCCTTTTTGTCTGAACAACTGGTTTGAAGAACAGAACTTGCCATGTGCATCTTAAAATATATATAAGTGGTATTTTCTTTGTTCTTAACAAAGTCCTGTGTAAACACATGGACTCTTCAGCACTTTTGGAAATAGCTCCAAAGGCATGCTGCCGGAAGTTTTCTGAGCAGTGACTGATCAAGAGATATGATTCATAGCCTTTTCCAGAAAGCTGTTGATCTCGAGGTCTGTGTCTTCCCGGGCCCTCTTTTTACCTTTACTAACTGGTAAAGCTTAAAGTTTTGTAATAAAAAAAAATAGATTGATAAACTGCTGAGATAAGAACTCACTGCTCTCTTAATTAAATAGCCACAACTTAATTTTAAGGACAACCTGAAGTACAAATGCCTTCATTGAAGTTATATCAGTGGATATAATCAGGAGTGATGACCAAAATCCATAAGATGAGGCTTCCTTCAAAACTCTTTTTAGCGCTGAATAGGCATTTTAAGTGAATGTGATGAGTGTTCTTAATTGTCAGAGATTGGAAGAATGAAAAAAAAGTGAACTCTTTTGATGTGCTGCCTTGCTTTACTTAAGGTCAGAAAACTGAAATCCAAAATAATAAAGACTGTATTCTTAAAGAGTGATTAACTAGCACATCTGGGGTGTGTGTGTGTGTGTGTGTGTGTACGTGCGTGTGATTAATAAAAGCTCTAAGGAAGTATTACAACGTCATAAACTCTGTGTAACTGTTGTGAAAAAAATCACCATAAAAAACAATTTTCTGTTAAATACTTCAATTTTAAGGAAATTTCTGATCTAATTATTCTGGGCACAAGTGTGACTCTCTGGAAATTAATTACACTTTTGCTGAAAGTAGTTCTAATGCCTTCAGACCCTCCTAAAATAATAGCTGTGTGATACTGTAAAAGAGATGTAACCTCTCTGAGTCCCAGCTTTTTCATCTGTAGAATGAGCCCTAGTTAGGATATGATAATGACATATAATCATGGACATTCTTTACTACCTAAACTGATATGGAAATACATAATAGTGCTGTTACAAACTTTGTTAAGACACATTCATGAATTAACACCTGCTAAAAGATTTTTAGGACTTTATCTTAAAGAGCTCTGTAGTCCCTGAATATCATATATTATGTTTCTTAAACTCAACACTTGGTTTTGCTTTCATTACTTCAGTCATGAAGAAGTGCTGGATACTAAAACACATCTTCTCTGCTGCCATTCCAATTTGATTCTGATTACAGAGAGTCCAATAAACAGCCAAGATAAGGCTTTATGACAGAAGGAAAAAAAAAAAAAACCTCTCCAAAGCTCATAACTATGGATAGGAATTCAGTCCCTAGACATTTATCTGAAACATCTGTACCAAAGATTCTACAAATCTGTGAAAACATTCTCATGAGTATTAGACTCTGTTAATTTTTTATTACTTCCTACTCCTTATTAGCCCCCAAATGTCATGTAACATCTAGTATACATGTTATGTTAATATTTCTGCTTTTGATTAAAAAAAAAACACAGAAAAACCAAAGCCTAAGAAATGTAAATGCTATGAAAGAGGTAGTTTTTCCAGCCAAATAGTATTAGTTGGAATCTCATTGACTTTTGAGTAAAGAATGACTTGTATCCTCTCATTTTTTACATAAAAAAATGTATCTCATTTTTTCTGATGTGGTTGAATTTTGAATCTGAAATTGACATGCCCTCCATGTGTTGACTCAGAATAATACATATGACAAAAATGTAGCTTTTTTGGTTTAGTTATTTTTGCTTCTATTCTTAAGAACTGGGATTGATACTATATTATTAATGAATAAAAATCCCAGATTTTAACTGAGACAAGAAAGTAGAGGAAAGAGAATTATGAGAGAGCATGACTAGGATGAATTTTGTATATCTATTCCAAACAGGATGTTGCCTCTTTCTGTATTGCTTAACAACCAAGACAGTGAGTGCTATCCTTACTCACAGAACTGCTTTCACTACATTTTTTTTGTATGTCTCATCCTTTGTGATCTTTGCTTGCTGTTTGTGTTTAATAACAAAAGGTAAGGTAAAACTAGGTATGCTACTGTTTCTAGTCACAAATTGTCTTTATTTAAATTTCAAATGTGATAACATTTATTAGACTGTTCTAAGCCTTTAAGAACATAAATTCTCTCATGGTATGAATCTATAATATATTAATAAATATTTTGATGAATAACAACCAGGTAATTCATATTGAGCCAATATTTGCTGAGCACCTGAGCTACAAAATGTAAGGACATTTGAGGATCAGGGAGGCAAATATTGAAATAAATAATACCAACAGTGTTGCAGAGGCAAAAAGAAAAAGTACTGTGAAAGGAGTGAGCTTGGTGCATTCCAGCAACAGATAGAAGACCCCTGTGATTTGAGGACAGTGAGGTGTTTGGATGGGATGATGGAAGCCTGATCACATAGGGCCAAAGTAAGGAATTTGTATGTCATTCTAAATTGGTTGGGGAGCGTTTGGAAGACTTTTAAAGCTGGACTGTGGCATGATCTGATGTAAATATTAAAAAAAAAAAATCACCCTAGGTGCTTTCTGGGAATTGTAGAATATTTGTTAGTCTCCAGTTGGATGTGGGAGTTGAAGAATATAGGGAGTGTAAAATGGTCCCACATATTTGGCCTGGTAAGTTACTGTTAGACATGATTATTACAAAGGGAGAAAACAGGCTAAATGTAGAAGGGGGAGGGTGACAAATTCATGTTTTGAAAGTGTTTGACCTATCCACTGGAACATCAAGTAGGAGGTGACTTCAGGCAATTAGGCATGTGTTCCTAAAGGTGACAAGTAAGGTATTAGAATATATCTGGTACATAGGTAATGAGTGAAGCCATGGAAAAGGATGAGATCTCAGCAGAAGGCCTGTATAAAGTCAGGAGGGAAGAAATTTGAGGTTCTCACATAGGGGAATACCAATATATAAGTGATGAGCAAAGGTGTAGAGTCAAAAAAAGGAAAGATTGATGAGTGAGCCCATCTTTAAGAGGGTAGATCCACATATGTGGTGTGGATCCTTAGGATAGCTATGGTAGTTTAAACTGGAGTATTTGGACTAACCCAGTGAGATGGGTCAAAGTAAGATGAGCAGAATGTTGTAGATGTTGTCAAATGCTACTTAGCCTACTAGTTGGTGTGCTGGAACAAAGAAGTTGGTTCTCGCAATTGGACAGGCATTAATGACCTTTATGCAAACATCTTCTATAGGATAACCATGTGTTATGGAGTAACAGAGGTGCACATATCCACCGAGTCTTGAATAATCTTTCTAGGAGTTTCCTGTTGAAGAGAAAAATAATATATATATAGTTTGAGAGGGAGGAAGAGTGAAGAGAGATTTTGGAAGGGGGGGAAATAGGCAGAGAAAGTAGAGAGAGAGGAGGACCCCGGAGATTGGGGAGGCAAGAGATGATGCTAAATCCTAAAGGAAGTGGCAAAGGAAGAGATTTGAAGTCTGTGTAGAAGATTTAATGTTGGAAAAGAAGGGGTACATTTTCCTTTGCTGACACGAGGGGATAGTGATTGTGTGAGATGTGGGTATCTGAAAATGGATTAAATAGAAATTGAAGGAATTCATCAATAAGATAACTTCAGAGTATTAGAGAATAATAATATGCTTTTTGTCCATGGGATTCTCTCTATTACTTTATAGTATAAAGAAAAATTCAATTATGATATCTCAAAATAGGTGAGGAAAATTTAACAATAAATCTTTCAAATTACACGGGCCAAAGAACAAATGTTTAAGAGAAATATGAACTTACCCTTGTACCAACTTATTAGCATAATTATTGAGATTTGATTCATATTTATTCTAAGTCTCAAAGTCATGGTTATCTTTCCTTGATAAGCTTGAGACTAAACTCATCCTGAAAAATGGAACTTAGTTTGAAGGAACTTATTCATCACTATATTTAACCTTACCCAAAGATGAAGTTACTGATATGGATCGCACCTGTTGAGTAATTTCTAGGTGGGTGGTTTCAGAATTCAAAATATATGCTGCATGCCACACTTTGGTGAGATTACACAAGGAAATAAATTAGTAAACTATAAATACTAGGAATGTCCAGAATGCCCAGCAGATTAAAAATAGCAGAAAAATGCCCAACATGTATTTGAAATGCAGAGGCACAAGTGCTAGGTTCTTAGACAAAAATGTAAGACATGTGGAAGAAAAGTTATTGGGAAAACAAATTTTCTTTTATTTTAAAATAGACCATTACATTGAAGCATCTTCACAAATGGATAGAGGGATTAGGAAATTTATTTATGTGAAGGAAACCAAGATTTTGAACATACCGTAGCGTGGAGGATCTGACAAATGTGGTTCACAGCTCGTCCTTCCTTTTTGCTGGCTCCTCTCATGTACTCACTGTAATGGCTCAATCCTTTTAGTTCTTTCTAACATATCACGTTGTTTAAAATTTGCTGATAGGAGGATTTGGGAAATACTTATGCTTCTTGCCCTTTTTTATTCCTCAAAAGTAGAAAATTTGGTTTCATTCTCCCTTAATTCTCCATTTCTGAGTCCCACAGGGTTGTGACTTCCAGAATAATACCATTATGGATTTTATAAACATCTTTATTTCATTTCAGTAATTTTACACTTATCTGGACAGTGAAGCTGTTCTTCCTAGTAAAAGTATT